TGTCACATGAGGACAATGAGCATAAACAGGGGTTTTAGTGGGGGCAGCATCAGGTAAATGAGCACATGGAGCCAGACTCACTAATTTTAAGGGGAAAAGGGGCTTGTTCTCTGGGACACCTTAATTGTACATACAGGCTGTCCTGGATGAGTTGCCCTGGGTGAGATTATTGATCAGTTGGTCTTGAATCCCACCTCCAGCCATGGCCCACACATTGTACTTTACAGCAAAGACAGAGCAAGGATGATACGTAGCTCCTTGAGCAACAGGAAATGTAGCAGCAGGGCTCCTTCCTCATCCCAGGGAAACTGGTTTAAACCCCAGGGAACAAATGAATCATTTTGTAGTGATTGCATCTCCTCTATCACAACTAAGTTCTAAATTATTCTTTCTCTACCCACCAAACTGCATCAATAGAAAGCTAAAGACCATCAGGGAAATACTTAAGACACTCCACTGCACATGACGCCACTGGATAGTGGTAGTTTTACATCTGTAATCCAGCTTCCAGCAGGGCTCAGAGACAGCAAATTTATCTCAGATAAAACCCAGGGACAGCACATCCCTTACATCACTACATCCTCCCTAAATCCGCTTTCCTTTTCCTTTCCTTCCAAGCAGGGCACATCACCATGCAGGGATGCACTACTGCACAGGCTTCATGGATCAGAGGGTGCCTGGGGTGGAGTAGAGACAAGGCTGGCCAGGTTTGCTCAGGTGTATGTTTGCTTCCTGCAAAACATTGCCTTTACACAACTATCTCCTCAGCCTTGGTGCTGCACATCCTGGCAAGGAGTTCTTTATATCCTGCTGGTGCTGTTGCAAGTTTCTATGATAAGCTCTATGTCAAATATGGACATTGGTACCTGTAGCCTATTGTCCAGACAGCCCATAGACTTAAAAGTTATTCTAGACTTGTATACCCAGCTGGTCTGAATGTGTCCCAAAGAGCTCAGGGGCAACTCAGTTAACTTTACAGACCTTTTATCCACTGAGAAAAATCTGTGTAGTTGAGATTAGTTACAAGGATAAACAACAAGAAAATCAGCAGTGATGAAAAGATAGCACAAAACATAAGCAAGAGAACAAAAGAAATCAGAGGAATGTTTCCAACTCCAGTGAAGACACAAAGAGCTAAGGCAGAGCCCTGGCGTCTCAGCAGCATGGCTGACCTATGTGTCTGAGTCAATCTCATTGATAACAAGCCAAGGAGACAGACTTATTCCAGGAAGACCAAACTTCAGTTGCACAAACTCAAGGCAATAAGGATTGGCTTCATCTGAGGACTGAGAGGAGGTGGGTGGGGGAACACTCAATGTAAGACATTCCTTAATGATTAGGTTTGGACTACAAGGCGGCTGAGTTTAATGAGTTTCAGTAACTCTTCCAAATTTAGGGAATTCTTTTTTCATATACATAATTTTATCAGTCTAACAGGAAATAAATAAGGGAATGCCCAAAGGAAATTCAAAGACTTCAGAGATTTGGAAAACATTCAGAAATTAAATCAGAATTACTTCTGAGCTGCTGGTCATGGGGGATGGAAATCTGACTGCCAAGAGTTACCACCCAACTGCTATTAAACTTAACATGGGAATTTCTTTCCTCCTTTTTTCTTTTATGACAAGAAGGAAACAAAAAGTTAAGAGAGTTGTCAAATATAATCCTACCCTTCAAAGGCCATTGTGGTCCTAGAAGAGGAAGCCAACATGCATACCTTTCACAAGTGTTATGTTAGGTAACTTTAGACTCAAAGATAGTAAGGCCTGAAGGATTCTTGGTGATCTCTCCTGGCTCAATTATAGGCAGGCAGGAACACAAAGTTAAAGATGAATCTGAAAAGCCTTTCTTACTGTGATAGTGCCTTTTCTCTACCTTCAGTACCAATTAGTGAGGGTCTACAGAAGTTGTGAACCTTGGTTCTCTTAGGAGACTGCTTGGAAATGACTGAAATATTCCCAAGCTTTAATCAACACCAGGGTGACGAAGCTGACCTGAAACCTCTTCTAAACAGAAGAAAACTCTCAGGGTAATCTTCAGTTAACAATTCTCTTGTGCAGAGAGATGATATGTACACTTCTCCCTTTCTATCACACATGCCCATGACTCAGATGGAAGAAGGGATCTCAGGATGTTGCTGTGCTCACAGTGATATGAACACAGTGGAGATGCAGCACTCCAACAGCATGAATCACTCTGAAACACAGTCCACTCTCACAGAAAACTCATCCCAGATGTGAGGGTGGACTCAGAGCTCAGGTTAAACATTCCATGTTTCTGCATGTTTAATCCACCCGAATTAAAGCAAGTCATTACAGGAGATTCAGCAATATAGAGAATTTCATGAATCTCTGGAAAAATCCTTGAGATTGTCTCTTTGGACCTTCATTTCCACTACTACATAGCAACTCTGCATGAGAAACACGTACTGGTCAACACAGGAAAAAAACAGTGGTATTATGAGAGCAGATTATCAACTGCCCTTTAGCAGGACACCTGGGATAAGAGCTGAAGCAAAGGATACTCACCCCAGCAGCAGGTCATCAGGGACTGCAACAAAAAGAAAAAGAAATATGATTTTGCTGAACTTCCCCACTGTGACAGACATCAATATCACAGGCAGGCTGGGATCTCCCTAATGTGCCCCACCATGAGGCCACACAGGACTGCACTACTCTAGCCATCCTCTCCAGCCATCAAAAAACAACAAGGAGCAGCAAAATGATCAGTTATGGTAGTACTAAAGCATGTATCAAGTACAGCAATCAGAACCACAGGGATTAATTTTCAAAAGAAATGCAGAATCCCAAATCTACCCACTTTTGTAATACCCGACTTTTAAAAGCATGCAAGAAAGGCATAGGGCCTCAACATCTTACTCTGCTGCTTTAAGAAGTTGGTTAAATATATATATATATTAGTTTCCCTGAAACTCTCTTGGCATGAGTTGAGAACTCTGGCATCAAGTCTTTAAAAATGTTGTTCTTTTCTCAGCACAGTCTTGCAGGGCGCCACTAGTTTATAGCTTTTAATACAGCCACAGAAACACAATGTCTTCACTTATTGGAACTTCTTGTTAAGATGGAAAGTTACACTTAGGAAAATTTGTTTGTTGCCGTTTAGGCTCTGATCACCCTGATCAATCTGACCCTTCTGTTTTCACTAACAGGACACAGTGTACTGCGTCTCTGTATTCCAGTGGAAGATTGGGACTTCTGACTTTAAAATCCTCTGTTCCAACAATTCAAGGTATTCTCTATGATTTAAGCTTTTGGTTTGACTTTACCAGCTTTATTCTAATTTAATACCCCAAAATGACTGATCGGTTTGTTTCTGCAGTTATGCCTCAGTGCACTATTTTGCTTTAAGGAGAAGTATACCTTAAAATAATGTTGGCCTTTTTTTTTCCCCCTCCTAGTTTACAACAGGATTTATAAAGCTCTTCTAAAAATTTACATGCAGATTTTGGATCTACTCTAACCTGACAGGAGCCATACTGCAAGCATGTCAAAAAGGTGTCAATGTGGTCACTCTGCCAGTTTAGACATTAAATCTCTGCTCATTCCCCACTCACATGTAGTGCTCAGACCTCTCTGAACATTTATTTGCTTGGGTTTAGTGCATTTAAAAACACTCCCTTCCTTAGGAAGAGCCATTCTGCACTACTTATCATGCAAACATAAAGAGTAATATTCTTTCAGCACAGATGACAGAACTACTTTAGTAATCCGAAGTGCAATGAAGGTAATTGTTCTTATCTACCTGTCCGAATTGGCCAAGATCTAACTGCTGGTTTCCGCTTGCTTCATTCAAGCAACGGTAAAGTTGTTCTCTGCCCTTGCTCACTAACACCACACCCTCTGCCGGTCAGTCATGAAACATCGTTTATATGAAGGTTTCCCTTTCAACTCTCGTTTTGAAATTAGCGAGTCTATAAAAACAGCAGGACATAGGCACAACAAAATGCCTGCCTAGAAATATGTAAAGCATCACCCCTTGAATGCAACCACTTGCACTATAAACTCGAAGCAAACAATATCTTGAATGTAAGTACCACATTCAAAAACATGTCCAAACTGGTCTGATTTACAAAAGGGCCTGACTTCGAGAAGGGGGCTACTCCTCATTATCTGTGCTTCAAACCCCTTTGTGTTGTCTTCACACCGGGACAACTGGAAACACCCAATATAACCTGCTGCTCCTGAAGGTGAAGGCCACCCAGTAGGCTGGAGATGGGAACCAGGGGATGCCAACAGTCCTCACTGCTCACTGATGGTTATGACTGGCCCACCGCCTGCTGGGATGGTTCTGGGTTTTATTTACGTACCGTGTGAGGTCTCCTTAAAAGCCTTTTTGATCTCTCTCAAAAGCTCTTCTGCTACTGCGGGCAGGGTACTGTCCATCTTGTCAGCAGGGTGCTGTCCATCTTGTTGGCTCTGGCCTTCTGACTGGAAGGAAGCAGTGGGAATCATTACACTGCAAATACCATAGACCTGGACAGGTTAACTGGGCACCACTACATCCCAACCCTGCAATGAGGCCAAAAGCATCTCCACCACCATTTGAAACATGTTTTTCACACGTTCTCAGAACAAAGGGTTTCTCCACAACAGAAGGGTGTTTCTCAGACCCCCCCACGTGTGAACACACCCCGTGGAAGCGGACGGGGGGACACAGCTGGCAACAGGGAGAGGCCCTGGCCCGGGCCGCCCCGGCTGCTGCCCGCTGATCTTTCACAGAAGGGCCGGGAGCCTGCAGGCCCCAGCAGCGGGAGTCCAGCCAGCACCGCCACTCCCCGCCGCGCTTCCCGGGGGCTCTCTCGTTACGGCGGAGCCGCGTCGGAGCTATTTGGAGCGGCCGGTCCTGCGACAGCGGCCCTGGGGCCGGGCCTACCTGTACCTCCGCCGCCATGAAGCCGCGTCTCCATAGCAACAGGCGCCCTTTGCCCCACGTGACGCTGAGGCGTGCATCACGTGGCGAGTGGGAGTTCTTAAAGGGCCCGGGCCGGGATGATGCTGGCGGCAGCGCTGCCGCGAGCCCTCAGTCGCTTGTCCGCCCGGCGCTACCCCGCGGGGCTCCGGCCACCCCGGGCCGCCTGGCGCGCCGGGGAGCAGGGCAGCGGCAGGACGGGGTTTGAGCGGCGGCGATGGGCCCGGCCGGTCGGAGGTGCTCTGGGCTTCCTGGGAGGTGAGGCAGGCCTCGGGCTGCGGGCCGCGGCGGTGTGTGGCCGGGTGGCGGTCACCTTCGGCCCGCAGCCTTCTCCCTTTTCCCCAGGGACGCTGAGGAGGACGGCGAGGACGCCGTTATCCTCCTGCTGAAGAGAGCCAAGGTGAGGCGCCGTCCCCTGCAGGGCCGCGGCCATGGCGGGTGTTAGCTCAGCGGGGACCCTGGCCCGTGAGCTGTCCCCCCCCGGCTTTGCGCTGTGTCTCCGCAGCTCAGCGTCATGAAGGGTGAGCTGGGAGAGGCCGAGAAGCTTCTGCACGAAGCCCTGCGGCTGTCGCACCAGTCGGATAACAGGAAAGCCATTATCTACACCTACAGCATGGTGAGGCTCGGGGGGCTGGCAGGGACCACCGTGTGTAGTGTCTGGTTCACGTTGGAAGGTGCTGTGGGGTGCTGAGTTCCCTTCGGGGTGTAGTTCTGAGGCCGTGATGGAGCTGTAGATAGAAGGAAAAGCAGTTGTACTTAGGCAAGTCTCTGCAGTCTTTGTGGAGCTTCAGCACTCTCTGTCTCTTCCAGATGGCAAACGTGGCCTTCATGCAGGGACAGCTGGATAATGTGAGTAACTCTGGTTTTTACCTCTGAATTTTGAGGCTGACATCTTGTGCAGGCGCTGAGTTGTGAGGCAGAGGCCTCCCAGTAAAAAGCAGAGTGATCTGCCTTGGAACTGCAGTGCTGTAGAGCATGTTCTGCCAAGAAAAATGCTTTTGCAGATAGTTTCTGAGCTCCAGCATGGTGCTGAAGGAAAGGAATACTTCTCACTGTCAAATGCCGCAGTGAAGCATATTAGATGACTGTCCCAAGATGAACCTTGGAAAGCCCTGAAGGCACAAAAACGTGGTATACTCATTGCTGATGTAGCAGTCCTAAAGTAGAAACTGAAGAGACCTGCTAGTTGTTAGTATGTTGGACTCTGGTTAGCTTTTCACTTCTACCTAATATTGATGTACAATGTAAATGCCACAAACTGTAAGACAGGTTTTTCCCAGTAGTCTGCCTTTGTAAAGGGTAGAGATCTTTCAAGTGCCATCATTCCCCAGTGTTCTCTTCAAAATTCTCATTTCAGGCAGAAAAGCTCTACAAAGCAAGTATGAGCTATATGCTCTCAGGGGACACGAAAGAGGTATGTTCTTCTGATAAAGGCTTTCAGCTGGAAGTTTTAACAGTAGTGCATGTCTCTTTGGTCTATTTCTTGTGCTGTAATACCTCCTGCTGGAAATCTGCAATACTAGCTATGAGCTTGCTGGCTTCTCAGGAATTTCCTTTAATGGATGGTAGCTCTGGAGAGAAAAGGATGAGGATTTTTAAGGTCTAAACTTGTACTCTGACAAAGTAATGTTTCTACTGGGGAGATGCAAGAAGAATAACAGTTGCATTGTGTGTCCTTCTGGCAGGATGACAATGCAATCCTTGAGATGTCCCTCAAGCTGGCCAGTATCTATGCTGCTCAGAAACAGTGAGTTCCTTGCTAAAGGCATCTTTTGCTTTCATCTCAGCTTCAGAGTGACAGTGGTACCAGAGAATAGAGAGCCTGAGGAAGCTTTGATGTGACAAGATGGCATCAGCATAAAGGTTCCCGCAGGCATGGTATTTGCCTACTCACAGTCTGTAGCTATGTAGTTACATGCAGTCATGTAGCAGGGTTTGCTGCAGATTGCTGTTAGGACCTGCCCAGCTTAGGGCAGAAGTAGCCAGAGAAACATCACTTAAAAGCCTTCTTTCCTGTGAGGTGTGGATTTGAAGCAGTTGGTGGCTGGAAACTTGTAGTTTTGTTTTTCAGCGGTGCATTGGCCATGGGTTGCCTTAGCTGACCTTGTTTGGGGGGAAGAGGGGCCCTTTCCACCTCTGCACAGAGGGCAAAAAGGGTCCTGTGAAGGGGAAAAGTTGTCTTGCAGGCCCTGTAGAATGAGGGATTGAAGGTGTTCACATGCGTCCCTTCAGGGATTGAAGGAGCTTTGCTTTGCTTTGCTCAGTTGCTGCACTTTGCAGGCACAAATTAGCCCTGGCTGGCTATGAGTTCTGCATCCTGACCTTAGAGGAGAAGATTGCCAAGCAGAAGGACTTGCCTGAGGATGTCTTACCAGGTAGGACTGCCTTGTCTGCCAAAGGCTTCTCATTATCTTTTCTCCATTTCCCTCACATTGATGTTTCTTTCCATATTGTCTAAGTACCATCTTCATGTCAATCCATTGTCTTCACACTGCATGAGTTTCCTGCTCTTGTAGGATGGAGACTCATGCTTGATCTTGTAGAAGTGATCACTTCCACTCCTCTCTATTTGCAGCTGAAGAAAAGGCCAATACCCGTCTCTTGCTTGGGATGAGCCTAGACTCCTATGCTCGCTATCTCCTAAACATTAACCAGCTCCCAGCGGCCCAAAAAATGTATGAGAAGGCTCTGCAGATATCAAAAGATGTTCAGGGAGAGACTCATGCACAGGTGACTTGTATAATGGACTACCAGGGAAAGAAACCTAAGCTACCAGGGAATGAGGCAGCCTTAAAAGCAGTTTTGCTGGTATCAGCCATACATAGCACTAAATTGGGATCTGCTTTCTTGCCAGGAAGAATGAGCATACAGCATTTTAATAGAGAAATACAAGACACTTTCTTACTGAAAGCTTCTCTGGGAAATACTGCTTTTACTAGTGTGATGGGAGTACGATGGTGGTGCTTGTGATGCCCCAGCCCTCTACACAGGTCTTGCTCTGAGGTTTCCTTTTCTGTCCTGATGCAGACTGTAGTCCTGATGAGCGACTTGGCGACTGTACTGGATGCCCAGGGTCACCACGATGAGGCATACTCCTATGTGAAAAGAGCAGCAGAGCTGGCAAAGGAAACTCAACACCCTGAGGAGCACATGGTGTTGAACAACCTGGCAGCAATTCTGATGCACAAAGGTAGGTAGATAAATGTCTGGCTTCTGTCACTGTGCTTGTGCTGACTGCAGACACCTGCATTGTAGGATCAAAATATAGTGTTATTTTTGTGTTGCTATTTGTAGTTTAAGCAGCAGGTCTGCTGACTTTGTGTAGCAACCTGTGTGGTGTTCAAATAGAATTCAGCTGCTGAAGGATCCTGTCCAAGATAAATGCAGTACTGGTGCATCTGACTCAAAAGGTTGCCAAGAGATCTTGTTTCCCTTGTCCTGTACATGCAGTAACTGGTTCCAGAGGAAGAGAAGACATGCTGGAGACTTGTTTCTAAGAAATTTTAATGCTGAAGCAGCACTTTGTTCCATCATCATTGCTGTTGTCTTGCTCTCATAATTGGCACCCAGTGCTGGATGTTTTGTGAATCTCCCTAGTTCTTGATGTGTTCCAGTAGTCTTTGCTTGTTCTTTGGGACTTCGAAAATGCCTCTTTTTCCTCTTGATACAGAGGACTTTCTGCAAGCAAAACAAGTGTACAAAGAAGCTCTCAAGCAGGCACAGCAGAAGGGAGATGTTGCTTCTGTTCAGCATATCCAGGAAGAACTAGCTGAGCTGGCTAAGAGGAGAAAGGGCTCCAAGTAAGCTTGGCCACAGGGTCCAACCATGAGGTGGCCAACAGCAGCAAGGGCTGGTCAGTACAAACAGCCCTGGTGCAATGCTCCAGGGGAACAGCAAGGAGTTTAAGGACTACATAACAAGAAGGGCTGCTATTACCCAACAAGTTAGCCTAAAATAAAGTTGTGAAATCCTAACTGTGTAGATCTGTGGTGTAGTCTATGGTTAGTGAGCTACTATGCAAGTGATTTAACTTGGTCTGGACTGGGAGCAAAGCACAAGTGTAGCCTGTTATTAACTTATATTACTTAAAGAGCATTTGCTACTCCAGACTATTCACAGAGGTATTTAGTTTCAAACCATGGCTCTACTAAAGTTAAGTCATGAAGAAGAACAGGCAGGAATTGTCTCACTCTACATGCTGGCTACCACAGCAAGGTGTGCTTGTGTCAGTGCTGCAATTCAGTGTTTATTAACTTCAGTAGAGCATTTCCTAGGCTATACCTGTACTATGACAGAGCTGTACCTCCAGGTCCTTTTCAACCAGGTTGCCTAAAGATCAAATGTTTTTCTTCAAAGCATTTAGCATCCAAAGATAGAACATGTGCTCTGTTAGGAGGGGTCAGACTATGTTATCTGGCAGAGCTGTTGTCAGAAATGAATCACTCTGCCACCTTACACCAGTCAAGAGCACAGTGAGTGCCAAAGCTGGCCTCCTCTCCTGGATAGGTCAGTGCTAGAATGGTGAGGCTCCTGGTGGAAAAGGTGGTATGTACAAACCATCAGGTCTGTGAACTGCACCGTGACTCTAGAATGAACAGCCCGCTCATACAACAGAATGTTTCAGTTCTGTCCTGCAGGGACGCCTAATGTTAAAGGAGAATTAAACCAGAAGATAGCAAATCTGTGTTTAGCTAGGATGGAATAACAGAACTATTACTAAACAAGCATTAATTTAATGGCTCATTTGTAAAAACTTCAGCTGGTTGATACAACCCTTAATGTTAATTGCATTATCATTAGTTTACTTACAGTAGCATTAGTGGCTTCAGCTCTGTTTAACTTTGAGCTAAGAGGCAGCACGCAGGTTTTCCAGAGCAGATGTTCATTGAAGCTGGAAGAACTTAAGTCACATGTACAGCTTTGTTCTCAGCAAGCTAGGAAGTAAAAATACAGCTGTTACAGGCATGCTTGTACTAACAGAAAGGCTCTGACACAGTAGTACCAAAGTTCTGGGTTCTATTTTTGAAGTGGCAGACCTTAGCCACTCCAGCAGTATCAATTGGGAACCCTGCAGCACCCCCTAAGGGAAGTGGTTTTTGCCTGTTCTCATAACTTGATGCTGTAAAACAAGAGGGAGACACAGGAAAGGCAAATGGAGAACTGATCCCCTTTATTGATTGGTCTGAATCCAGAAGTCACTGTCTACTGAAGACATTGTGTGGAAAAAAATAAAGTTGTTTTATGATGCATGGGTTTTTCAAGTCTTAAATGATTTCATATCAGAATCACGAAACATACCAAGATGAAGCATTGTGAAAGCGCTGATCAGAAATCAGTTAAAAATTTGTAGTAAACTACACTTTGTAAACATGACTTACAAACACCTTCCTGTTTGAAACAGGGCAGATGTCATTCCATACTTGAAGATTACTGGAATTGTGGTAAACCCTAACTTAGGCTCTGGAGAGGTTTTTACACTGGAGAAGTTAGAACTTGGATAACAAACAAAAAAGCAGCAACATTTTATGTGCAAATGCCACTCAAGCTGTATCTTAGGAGAAAGTGACTATCCTACTTTGGGAATCTTGCTGCTGCAGCAGCAATAACATGAAGCTTTGCAATGAACATGCTATACTTACAGTTAGCAAAGACATTTGTCTGTACATGCCTCTTTCACATTGTATTTGTTACACTAGGAAAGCGACAACGAGTGAGTTTTAGAATGGAACTGAACTCTCCATTCCAAATTTAGACCTACAAAAAGGGCAGAGCAACTTGTGTTCCAGTATCTGCTGCTGTGGGAACAGAAAAGTTAAAATAAGAGCACAGGTCTACAAACAAGATGAAGAGTTCACTGTTAAGCTAGAAGGATAAAGGATGGGAGGGTGAGAAAAGTCTTTCTTAGAGAAAGACTGGAAGGAGACTTAAGACTGCCAACTGATCTACTCTGATGAGTGTTTAAATAGAGCAGCAAAATCTGTATTTGCAACACAGCGTCAAGTTTCCAAATGAGTTCCTCTGGATCTTTCCCCCACTTTCCTCCCATGTACTCAAAGTGAATTTGTATTGATAAGTAGTTCTGTACTTGCTGTTTGTAACTGGACCTTACAGTCCTTCTGCAAGATGTAGAACTTCCACAGCTGCATTCACCTTCCATACAACATGTCACAAATACAGGGTTAAATTAAAAATAATCCAACTGGAAAATAACTTCAAGGCAAAGACTCTGTTCATGGATGAGATGCAAAAGCAGTCTGGAATCTGACAGATGGTGCCACCCCCCAGCTCAGTGCTATCTGTAAATCAGTCCTTCTACCCCAGAAGATTCAAATTCACTTCCTGAGGTCAGTGCAGCAAAAAATAAGATGCTTTTGAAGATGGATGTCAGGACACCCTGTGGTATCACTAACCAGATGCATGTGTACATGAGCTACAAGCATATCATAGCAGGCATTGATAGATGAGTGATTAAGGAGACTCTCCTAGTACCATGTACAATTTAAAAATCACCCTAACAAGTATTGCACACTTTAGGAGTTAAGTCAAGCATCCGTAAGGACTTCAACCAAAAGCTTGCTTACAGGGCCAGGGATGGGGATGCAGACTTTAAAATAATTATTACATAAAGATTTTAAAATCAGCCTGGAGGAAGGTAAAAATCACAGTACCTATTTCAAACCGGTTGTAACAGAAGCCAAGTAGTTGACTCATGTGTTGCTCACTTATTCTATAAAAGCATTTTGTTTTATTTAAACTTGGGATGTAGAGGTTTTTCTTCTTAAAGGATTTATCAACCCACCCAGAGCCTCTGTTCAGATAAGCCATTTGCTGTGGTGAAATATGACAGTAAAATTTAGTAGCCTGTCTTGACTGCATACAATGCAGAAACAGAAAACACTTAAGATAGGCTTTTGGGGCACAGTTAAAATTCCCAGTGTGCAGAAGTGAGGTATGCCTCCAGAAGCTGTTCTTTGTTTTTCTTTTATATCCTTTAAAAAATGAACCATAACATACCCATGCAATAACAGTTCTGCAGTGTTGCTAAATAAAACCAACTGCACCAAAAAATTTACAATGTGGCAGAATTTAAAATTCAAAGAAATATATCATCTTATTCCAGCGAACCGGCCTATGGTAATGTACAGAATTCAGTAAGGGGTCAGTCTTAAAAAATCAACATTTTCACAAGAGCTTGATCACCACTGAGAAAGTGTGTCTAGGGAAAAAAAATGATATAAAAGCACAATGCCTGCAAGAAGTGGCCTGGCATTAACTGGGCAATGACGCTAGGCTGGTTGGGAGGCTAGGTTAGGGTTAGGCTAGGCTGGAAGGGAGGCTAGGGTTATGAAGAGTACTCTACACTGGAGAAAATGCTTAAAAAACAAAAAAAATTACAAAATGACCCCCAAAGTTTAGGCAATGATTTGAACATAAGTACACCAGATACTATAGCAAGGGAAAAAACACTGCAAAAAGTACTCTCTATTTACAGAAGAATGATTTAAAGACATTAAGGTTTTCTTTACAAATAGATGTAGAACAGGAATAGTCCACATTTTTTAAAAACTCTTTACATATTTATCTTTAGTAAGTCAACCTTCTTGTTAACAATCCTCCAACACATGGCCTGTGCAGAAGGCATTTAACGGACTCTCCAATTCTTCATTGTGTGGCCCTTGCTCTCTTGGAAAGTCTCTATGGGCACAAGTCAAAAATAGATTTCTTGTTTTGACCCGCAAATAAAAAACAAAAAGAATCTGCATAGTTCAGTCATCACTGTCAGACAGAGTCTCATATTGTGCTGAAAGCAGTGGTGCAGGCTCTCGCTCCCATATCCTGTTCTGTTGGTGAGTGGTTGCTTGGCTCATGGACGGTGGGGCACACGCAATGGATGTTGGCGGTGTACTGCTGAGCATCCTCATCGTCAACGGGTTGTAAGGAAACTGTGTTGAACCTGAATAAAACAGAGTTTCTCTGAGTCAAAACCATAAGCTGTTCCAAGAGACCCATATCTGAAAGACAGTCTGGGTTTGGTTGTGACAAGTCGCAGCAAATCTGTTATTTCTGAAATTCCTCATATGCTGTAAGCTCCTGACCAATGCAGGAAAGAAACCCATTTCTCACCTGTTGATGAAGGCCTATCTTCCCAGGCCCATACTGGAGTCTGCCTGTGGTAGTCCCCTTCTGAATGTACAGATGAGACAGAAGAAGGTCTTTCGGTTCCCAAATACCCCTGTCCAGGAATTGGAGATTTTGACTTCCTATTATTTGACTTGTTGATGAGCTTCTGCTTGCCCCCTCCTGGAAACAGAAAGGACAGATTTTAAAAAGATGTTACACTGGAATTTAGCCTCTGTTTGTTTCTATAAACTACCATGTACCAAAAACCAGGTGTTTCACACTGGTGCCTTCTGGAATGCTGATTTGCCTCCATTAGTGATCTAGTCTTCTAACACAGTGTTGCTAGAAAATCCCTATTCTTATCACAACAAAGTTATAGTTCCATGTTTAGGAAGGGAGAAGTTTTCAGTTCAAGCTCCTGCTGGCACATGTTCCTTACAGGTGAACATCAAACCACTGACATGCTTCAGGTATCTAATACATCCTGTTATCTCTTCTGTATTTCATCACTGTAGTCATTCTCCAAGAAATACTGGATAATGC